CGGGAAAGACTGATAAACTATTACTAAATATCCACTGAAAAGTCAGAATTAGGAAGCTTTATATAAAGCAAAGGTGACTGGCATTTTTTTTATTATAGTGAAAAGTCTATTTAATATCAAGTCCAATAATTTGTTTAGCCATGTTTTCATTGGCTGCGACTTGGATTTTCCTGTATTTAAAATTTTGGCACCATATGTTAAACTGTCTTACCCAATGCCATTGGTTATCTGGAAATGATAAATCTGCTCATTGATTTCCTGATTTTATTATGTACACAGTTAATTGTAATCCAAGATTACAGCAAATAAGATGTTAATTTCTAGACAACCTATGTACATTTCCCTTGGAGTGTGATTGTTACAGAAGCAAAGAATACAAAGAGAATACCATTCGTGCTATCCTCACAGGAGCTGTCAATAAAAGATGTAATAGGGGATTTAGGAATCTGGAAATGGCCAACTAATTTATGTGAATCTATTTTATTTCAGCTAGAAAGACCAAGCTCTGTTTCGTCTGCACTGCATATTGCAGAGCACAGGCTGTCTATAGAAAACCAGGCGGCTGCATATGGATAGTCCCTTGATATCATTCACTTGCTGTGTAATCTTATTATGCAAAGTTCTAATCTTCAACTAGAATGAATGCCTCTGGGTCAGAATATAGTCATATCAGGGTTTTTGAGGTCATGTTTTGTGATCCTTAGCTTATTCTTCTAAGTAGGGCTGGGATTTAAAGAGTATTCCCCAGACACTAGCAGAGATAGACGGCAAAACCTGCTGCCTTTTTGGAAGACAAGACCAACATGAGGTCCCTGGTAGGATTAAACTTGATTTGTAGCTGTAGGATTTTTTAACAGATGTATTATTGGACAGGGAATAGGGGGCCACCAGCACAGCGAAATTGGATCACGATTGGCATTCTCAGGGAGTCCGCTGGCTGCTAAAACAGCAGCTGCATGTGGATTTGACTTCTTTCAGGTGAAGCGACTTCCAGTCATTTGGAAAGGATGGGATGAAAAGGAACCTTGGTGATAATTTTGATGTCTGCAAGATTTAGTACCAATGTAATGGGATTATCGGTAACACCTTCACTGCAGAAAAAGCCACCTGGTGCTATAACTGGCAGCAACTAAGAACTAATCCTTTCCCATCTCTTGGATGTCATTCATGAGGCTCAAAGTGATTTCCACCCTGCTAGCTGTGATTAATTTTATAAACAAACAAACAAAAAAATCAAATGATGAAGGCATAGGCTATGTAAGGAAGAGGGAACAGAGGATAATAGTAATTATATTTTGCATTTTATTTGCTGCAGGGGATAAACTATACAGTTCTTGTAAGATAACCAAATTGTATTCTGCATGATAAATATGGATGCGTAACCTTTTTTAATCAATGTCCATGTTTGGTATAAAAACAGTGTCTATTTCAGTATAAAATTTTCATCTCCCTACTATATGATAGTAGGTAGCACCGGAAGTAATAACAACAGGTTTTATGCCATTAGTTCTACGATAAGGATGTTTATACAACAGATCCATTAAGTTTTCAAGGGGGCTTTGACTTAAATCATTTGTTTTATTGTGCTTAATGGTCTTATCCTGTGTCTGGTGGAGTTGCCTGCTGACAGCACTTTGTATTAAAATTAATTGTGTGATGTGGAAAAACATTCAGCCATTTACCTTCTTGTGATCAACAATATGGCATTGTTTAAAAAATGTACTGATAAACAGTTTTCTGAGGAAACAGAATTATATTTTACCGATGCTAGAGCAATGGTAAGATAACTACTCTGTGGGATTTTTTTTAATAAACTAGAGTTGGGATTTTTTTTTTGACTGGGCTTACTCTTACTAAAACCATTCACCTGTTCAGTAGAAGTTGTTACTTAAAACTGCAGGGAAACTTTCAGGATTGCAATTATTCTGTGGAATGAACATTAGATGTCTAAAGATAGATCTTAACGTTAAAAACAAACCCCCCAATCCTTGGAAGTTACCTTGTTAAGTTCAAACTGTGTATAATCTAAGTACTATATATATATGCCTTAATTTGAAATTAACTCTCTTAAGTAGTAATAAAAAGCCTTATATAAGAGCTAAGAATTTTTTTTTTCATTATCATGAGCATCTGATAACCCATAGCATTTTAAAAAATCCATTGTGCCACATTTATAAACTGGGACCGGTGAAATCCGTGTCTCAGGGGTTAAGAATTTATTTTAAGAGAACTGGGAACAAAATTTGAGACCTCTTCACTCACGTTTATATCATGAGAGCTCTAGCAGTAGGTAAAGCTCACTCTAAACCCTGTGTTTCCTTGAATAATTTACAAATCTATCCCTCCTAACTCTGAGTTACTCAGACATCAGAGAGAAATAAGTGTGTTCGCTGTAACTATTGGGAAGTACGTGTCATCCAGAGTCCAACAGGAAAACATTTGCAATCAGTTTGAAACTTATTTTCAGAGACATGAAGCAGTTGCTTGTAGTTTCATAATAAAAAATTATTTTAGTTATAGCCTGATAGCTGTTGGCATGAGGTTTACATTTTCTCCTAATGAGCCTGTCGTTACCATTCCATTTGGCACAATGAACGATATTTACCTACTCTGGTCAATGTAATGCAATGGTTCTGTGATTCTTTTTTACCTGTAATATCCACAGGTGTCTGAATGTATTAGTATAGCGTTTCTGAATTGCACGGATCTGAAATAGAGGATGCTTGTGCAGTATTTTCCTGTCTGAGAAGCAATGTGAGGCTGCCTTTCTAGCAGGTGCTGTTAAGAAGTATTGATGTTGTACTTCTCTCAGAAGATAGTTGCAGTCATTAATTCACACTAGCTGTGCCACTGTAATCGATCTGCTGTCACTCCATCTTCCTTTTATCACCTGTAACACATTTCTGGGCTCACAGTGTTTCTGGCCCTGAGAATAAGGAGTTGGTCCAGGCTTTTCATAGCATACTTGGTTGAGAAGAGCAAACCACTTTTCTGGCTCTCCAGAATAAATTTTGCTGAAAGAGCACGTAGCTTACAGCAACGCTGTTAGAGTTTCTACAGGGTGTCCTGTGGTGTGCTGGGCACTGCACGTCCTAATGAAACAATTCAAGAATTTTCTGTTTTCTGTTGTAGTTTGGTTCATTACTGTCAAACACTTTAGCTAATGTTGAGGATGATGAATCACAGGTTGGTTTAAGTGGATTTATTCTGGAGACCATTTATGTGACAAATAAAAAAGGCAAGTACATTTTTTTTTGGAACAGGAAATGAGCTTGTTAGAGAACATTTACCCCCAAGAATGGTCATCTTTTTCCCTTTATACATAAATACTAAATGCAAAGAGCAAAAGCCACTTTTGACTGTATTCAGGCAAAATTCCCAATAACTTCTAGAGAGTTGTGCAAGTAAAGCTATACGCTTTTAAATTCCCTTATTTAAATAGCAAAACATCATGAAATATAGAAGGGGAGGTCTTTACTTTATTATTAAGTAGGGCATGTTGTACAAGCAGCGTTTTTCTTTCTTTTTTTTTCTTTTCTTTTAGCTTACTGCATTTGTTTAGCAAGCTATATTGAGCCATCCTAGTAAATGAAGGAAATCTTGTTGTGGTTTTAGTTCATTATAAAGCGTATACTGAGTTTAAGGGGGACAGGTTTCTTGCAGAATGCAAAACTTGCTTCAGTATGTGTGTTTTCCACTTCCTTAAATAGAAATACTCTTAAAAATTGGGGTAAGGTAACATTTTAGTTAGATGAGCATTGCAGGAATTACATCTAATCATCAAAGTATTTAGGAGGCAGGGAGTCAGAAGATATTTACAGTCTTGTGTGCTGCAGAACTTATGCCACTGTATTGTAGCTGAGAACAGAAAGACCTAGTGCCTTATTTTTATATGCGAATATTTTGGTAATGAAAGTCTAGTCAAAGGAATGTTCTGCAAAACCTTCAGAATTCCCGTCAACAACTGTATTCTTTTTGTAGGATAGGCTTCCTTAGGCAAGACATTCAGGACTCTCTTATCCTTAATTTTGTCTAGTTCTTCAAGCCTTTTTTCATTTGATTGATTGTCAGGTCGCTTTTAAAGTTTTGGTTGACTATTTGATTACTCCAGTTTCCTGTGAATGTAATTTCAGTTGTGAAGTATCCTCAAATCGCTTCAAATCACTACTGTTGAGTGTTCAGTTTTAAATACTATGCTTGAAGAAAAACAGTGATCTAAGATGCACTGGCTTCATGTGATTAAAACAACTCTATCGGGTGTTAGTTAATAAATAACTGAACAATATGTGGTCCAGTCAGGAAGTCCAAGCCTGCATTTAAAGGCATAATTGCAGCTTTCCAGATTCCATTCAGCCAAACCCAATGGAGGGGAGGGTGTTCTCATAACTAGTGCAGATATTTAGACATTTGCCAGGTAAGCCCGTCTGCCATCTCAAGTAAAAGAAGCCCAGTGGAGAGCACTGACATGATTCTTTCCCATTAGTTTCTCTAGTTTGGCAAAGGTTTGTTTTTTTTTTGTTTCCGCTCCTGCTCAACTCAATCTCACTAATAAGCTGGTGAGCGGGGTCCATGGACTGTACACGTGGAAGGGTCTGCGTAGTAAATTAAATACTTCTTGATGGCATTTGAGTTTAAACTATGTTAATCTCCTCGAATATAACTGATTGTTGGTTTTATGCACTGTTTTTTTAAAAAAAATTGTCCCTTAGTTGTTAGATACAAAAAAGATAGCTTTGTAAATGTTAGGTTGCTTGTTACCAAATGAATGATATTCTTCTGTTTTACTGTAGACTAGAACCAGCTGACCGACGTAACACTGTACCATGCTTCGCAATGTCCTAGGAAAAACCTTTCGATTTCTTGGGTATACTGTGCAATATGGCTGCATAGCGCATTGTGCCTTTGAGTACCTTGGAGGAATTGTTGTGGTAACTTTTCATTTTAATGACATTTAAAAGAAAATAAAACTATTGTTATATGTGATAATGCCAATATTTCAGGTTTCATCATTTTTTTAAAGCTTTTTCTAAGTGTGTTTAGTAAATGGGTATTCTTTTGGAGGCAGGTCCAGCCTTTATGAAAGTTATTTCTACTTTAGGCATTTGTATTTTTTTGCTAAGTTACTGCTTGAGACATCACTAAAGCAAATGGGAAACTGTGATTAAGCATTTTGCAGAGAGTAAGTTCTTTCAGAAAGACTGGAGGCATTAATAATGCCATAGGAAGTACTCATTTCCAGCTCTGGACAGATTTCTGGATGCTGTATGCTGCCTCCCGCTCCTCCCCAGGTTCTAAACCCAGCAGACACTGCTGCTGGATACGGTGCATTTTGGCTGTGAGCTGCTCTTGCAGCTTCTCTGATGCTTCTCTTACAGAGGCTGAAGAAAGGGGTAAGCTGGCAGAGCTCCGAGTGCTGCTCCAAATAATTTCCTGCACATTAGGTGCTGAAGTGAATCTGTAGGGGCTTGTTGCACCGAGCGCAGTTCAGGGCCAATTCTGAGCGAATACGGAGCGGTGACAGAGTTAGAGGTGCCCTGGAGGCTGTCCTCGCCTTTTAATTGTATCAGATGTTCCTTGGAGGATCTCACTTTTTTAGTTGTTCTTTACATTACACCTTTTCTAATTTATTAGCAAATAATTTGAATATTAATGTATTTTAGATAAAAGTAATTGGAAATAGTAATTTTTTTCTCATTTATTTTTAATTTGCAGTGTTCTGGACCTTCAATGGAACCAACCATTCAAAATTCTGATATTGTCTTTTCGGAGAACCTTAGCCGCCACTTTTATTGCATTCGAAAGTATGCTCCTCTGTTGAGACTAGATTTTACATTCCGTTTGCCAGAGCTTGTCAGTAACCACATTTGTTCTGTCCTTTATTTTTCACATATTCTTCTGCTTCTAAATTGTAATTTTTGTAAATCTCCTCTCGCTGGATCTCAGGGAAGTTAAAGTAATCAGCACATACAGCCCATCAAACAACTTGTCAGAATTCATTCAGGATATAGTCTAGGATGTCATTTTTGAAGCTTTGTCCAAAAAATGGGAAAAATCCCATTTTTTTTTCCTAAAGCAGTTCTATTGTGTGAATGGAACTTCCCCTCTCTAAGCAGTTTTGTCTTCCTTGCAAACCAAGCTGTAGGTGTTGCTGTGCTCAGATAGGTTGTTAGAAAAGTGACCAAATGGGATAAGTACCGTTTATCAAATGTCATTTTATTACTGTGCTGTGGAGCGCAGTAGGCTCGAGGCCCTCACCCATTTTGTTGCGGCCTGTTTCACAGTACAAGCTAATGCGTACAATCAGGAGGCAACAGTAGTATAAGGTCTTAAAAACTCAGATTAGATGTTTGAAGTTTCACTGGAAGAATAACATTTGGACAATAACATTTAGGAACATGGAATCTGTTCTATTCCATATATATGTAGCAACAGGACCAAGTTAAACAGCATTAATTTCATCAGAGCACTGTCAATTAAAATGTAGTCTTAAATGTTTTATAAATGGTCTAAATAACAAAGAATCTCTCCAAATGTACTTAAAAAACTGTATGTAAAATTACACCTTGAGTAAAACTGAAGAAACCAAAAATTGTAGATGAGAATTTTCAGCAGAAGGAAGTATCTTTAATGTACATGAATATTTTTGGAGTATACACAGTGATGTACATTTATTCAGCCAAATAGTTTGCATTTAGAGTTCTTCTGTTTGTTTTTGTTTCTGTTTTTTTCCTCTCAGAGGAGATATTGTAATTGTGAAAAGCCCAAATGACCCCAAATCAAATATCTGTAAAAGAGTAATTGGCTTGGAAGGGGATAAAGTCTGCACAAGCAACCCTTCAGATTTCCTTAAGAGTCACAGCTATGTAAGTATTAGCGTTTCTTGCTTTGTAAATTAATGATTACTTAAGTAGGCCTGGTGGCCTGTAAAGGGTTTGCAATATTTGAGTATCATCATAGAGTATGATGTTCATAAATTATTCTTGTATATGTACAGTAAAATGTTGTAATTTGTAAACTCTGTTTATGGCAAGCTGGCTTTCTCGGTGTCTTTTGTCTCCGTGGGAAGCGTAGGCAGATGATATTTTTGCTTTGCCCTTTGCTTAGGTCTTCTTCCCTGGAAGAATACTCTAAAATTCTCTGCTTAAAGTGCCGTACAGATGGCAGACTCAAGGGCTTGGTCTTAAGGCAAAACTGTTTCTGTATTTTAAACGTGAAGAAGTGAAAATTTTGTTTCTGCAACAGATCTGAGGATTTTGCTTTCAAAATTATACTTTAGAGTATCTCTATATTTCTATGTAAGAATATTTCAATTTTTCTGAGTATAGTTGGAAAAGTAGTAATTTTCCTAACTTGTCCAAAAAGTCAGGTAACAAGACAAAATAAAAAGGAAAAAAATACTCTTAATACTCACTTGTCCTTGTGAAGACAGACTTAACAGAAGTTTGGAAAGATTTCTGACGAATTGTTTTCAGCAACTTCTTTTTAGGCTACCATTAGAAAAATAATCAGAAATCATGATGACAGAATTATTTATTTTTTTTTTCCCAAAAGCATGTTTGACCATTACCTCTGTTCAGCATCTTGTGGAGACATCAGGTTTTGCACAGGTGTTCTGAATCTTAAAAATATTCTGTTGCCTTTTCGTATCTACTTCATCCTCACAATTACCGTAAGAAGAATTACTGTCTGGCCCATAGCTGAAGTCTTGTGCTGTAAAGGTAGAGAATTTTATGGAATGCTCCTTGCAACCAACCGCAATGTGTCATATATAAATCCTTTAAGAGTTTAGCCACCATACAGACAGCTTCACCAGCATGCCTTCATGTACCGTTGCTTCATTTGTATCAGGCAGCTGAAGTGGAGTCTGTCCTCACTAAAATCAATGGCGAAATTCTTGCCAATGTTGTTCTAGACTTGGTGTTGGGATTGAGTCAAGACCTAGGACCAGAAAGCAAGGATACGATTCATACCTTGTTGTGAGGGGTTGAATTTGTTGTTTCTTCCACTCCAGTGTTAAGGCAAGACGTTTCAGTCACCTGCTTCTAATGTGCCCTTCTGATCAAGTGCTACTACCACTGGAGCTTCTGTTTACACTTCTGTCACCAGTGGACAGAAAGAAGGACCTCATTCTCTGTTATGTTTTGAACGGGAAGACAGAGCATTTAGTTTTCTCCATAAATTGTGTTACTGTTGAACCAAGGAAAAAAAACACAACTGACCCGACCCCCCCCCCCAAAAAAAAAAAAAAAATCCCCACCTTTCTTACCAAGCTGAGGAAATTTTCTAGCTCCTACGGGAGGAGTAATTTAAGGGAAATATAAATTGCCCAGAGAAGAACGGAACGACCTTAAATGGAAACCTGAATTGTGTCTGCACTGATAGAAGATGCAAGCGGAGTTTCTCTGAGCATCTTGTTCTTCGCTTGTCCGAGTCTTGAAAAGGAAGTTCAGGCAAGGTTTGTACTTAACAGGATGCCAGCCTCTCTGGAAACCCGGAGGTGATCAAATGAATATCCAGCAGAGCAATTTCAGCTCCAGGTGTAAGACTTTTTGTCTTCCATTTTAATATAAAATGTAAGGAGAATGAGAGGGTGGGGAATGCAGAGTCCATCTCCTGGTTTCCTGTGTATGTTTTTCATAAAGGCTAATGTGTGGAAACACAGCAAAGTGACACGCAGGCTTTCTTAGTTCTTGCTTCAGAACTTGTATCTAGGGGGAGAAGGGATCTAAATGGAAATGCTTTTGTTTGTTAGCGCCTATCTGTTTTCCACCTATTTTTAGTGGTTGTTGAAGAGGTACATCTTTCCATCTGTTCAGGAGACACTTCCTTTAGAGAGAATATATTCTCAACACAGATATCTGCACTTTACGCTCATAATTTATAGTGGATTATTCGTGAAATAAATGGTTCTTGTTGGGGAGGGAAGAGGTGATACGTGTCTGTGTTTAGGTAATTGTCTAATCAGATTCCCTGTCTTAGTGAATCACTGTGCTACACACTTTTCCTCTTAATTCAGACACAAAATTCTTCAAATCAAATAGCAGCAGTGGATGTACAGAGAACTGGCTATTTGTTTTGTTGATACTTCCTTGAGAAGAATTAACCTGAGTTGGGGTTTTGAAAAAAAGAAAAAAAAAAATTGGGGAAACTCTGAGGAAAGGCCTTGGCTGGGATCAGAAACAGCCAGAAGTGCTGCCTGGGGTGTCGAGCTGCCAGGGAAAGGTACAACTGCAAGCACTCTATGTGAGCAAAGCCTGGAAATTGTCATCAGTTCTGTTATTTATATCAGGCTACCAATTCCTTTTTAAAAAATGAGAAATCTCCGAGTGATACTTGAATGTGGTGACTCCAAAGTGTGTAAGGTCAGAGGACTCTTTGTTTTAATTACAGTCAACTGCACAGCTTTCCGTGGCTAACTTGCCTCAGTGATGGTGAATAGTTGCTGTGCTGTTTGCAAACTCATTACAGTAAACACAAAGTATCAGATGCCAGAAAAAGTGTTGAATTAAGTATTTGAACCTCTGCTTCATTCTTGGCTGGTGGTTGCCTGCTAATGGTTAGGTATCAGGAGTTAGCCAGTTCCTGGAGATGACAGATACAGGCGGTACAACATACCTAACCCACCTGAGAGCAAAACCACCTCTAAGCAGCTGCTTCTCTTGGCACCCCAAGGGTCACCAAGATCCTTAGTCATATTAGTAGGAATTGTGCTTAGTCTGTGTTGACTGTGTCCATGTTAGTCTTGGCATATTTTACAGAGTTCAAGCTGGAGATTTTTGTGCTTAGAAGCACTATCATACGTGATTCTTATTCTGAAGCCTAAGAGAATGTTAAAGTCAGATCCTGCTTCCAATCCTGTTTCATTCATGAATAGACTTCTCAGGATGGCTGACATACATAGGCAGGGGAATGGAGGACTCTGTTTACAATTTGCTCTGTAAAATTACACAGATGAGATACTTCATCGATGCAACCAACCAAAAAGATACCTGTAGATTAAAAAACCCCACTAAAACAACAAACCAACCTTCCAAGATATAATAAAAATGAAAAATAAATAAAGTCATACGTAAGTTGAATATTTCTTTCTGAAAAGAGATATTTCAGTTAGGTGGAAATGCGGTATAGCAGTGGCAGTTACGTGAAAGTCTTTATAGTGGTATAAAAATACTTTTGCTGCTATACTTACCTGAAGTAATAAGTCAGATGAGAAAAAGTATTTTTGTCAGTGCACTAAGTGTAAGGCTGTACCCAAAAACTGTCTTTGATGGAGTCATTGTTGGGTTACAAGCGCATGGAACTAATCCCACATATCAAATCGATTGCTATTAAGTAAGCACGTACTTAAATTAAAATTTAAGTACATTAGGAATGTCTTTACTTTTTTCCCTTTATAGTACATGATGCTTCCATATGCTAAAGGTTGGAGTGTATCTGCAGAATAATAATGAGGGGAATCTTCCTATTTACATGAAAGGGATAATGAAATTCCTTTTTTGAGTAAGCTGCTATAGTATTACAAAGTTGGGAAAATGTATTTTTTCTTTTAATTGCCTTTTTATTGATATTTGATATGGAATATGAGCATTAAGCTGGTAGTTTTGCTGGGCTTTTTTTGGTTTTGTGCTCAATGATGGTTTTTATAGATATAAGCAAGCGTATTTACTGTAATAAACCTTTAAGAATGCATAACATTTTTACTCTATCAGAAGCAATGTGGTATGAACCCAAAAGTTAAAAAGGTAAACAGCTATTTTTTTAGTAATGTAGTATTCAGACCTAGTTTCAATTACTAAAAAATATCTTTACTGATTTATTTATTTAAGATCTAAATAATGAACATTAATACGGAAATTACTGAATCACAGTAAACTCCTGAAATGGCCTTTAAAAAAACCACCTGAAAGATAATTTTCGTATTTAGGTTTTTATTTCCTGTTTTTAAAAGTCTTAATACAGATCCCAGTTTATAATTCAGATTGAGTATCCTATTGTTATATTTGAATTTGTTTTAATGCCATTTACTTTAGCTTTAATTTCTTTAGTACCATATGTTCTTGTGCTGCAGCTCCTATTTACAAATTGAAAAAGTGAGGGGTAAGTCATCAGATTAAAACAGCTTGTATGTCATAAACCACCAATATGCTAAGCCTTTGTGTCACTTAAACAAAAGTAGTACCTAATAATGTCACTTAATACAGCTAGAGTCTGTAAATAAGGAACTGCCTTTTGCAAGTCATAGTGATAAAAAGCTGAGATACAAATCCATATCTCAGCAACACTCTGCTGGTAATCAATCACAACACACCACTAATGCTGTAAGACTAGCTGATGTGGGGGAAGTATGTTTACCTTGTGCTAAAATGAGGTTCATTGCGGAGATGGCATCTCTTCATCCTGTGGTTAAGTCTAGAGCTAACATAATTCTGAAGATAATGCATCTTACTGTGTTTGCGGATCAGAGTAGTGGTCTTACACAGCGCTATTAACTCTTAAACAGTCCTTGTCAAATGCAGTAAGAATATTACATGGGTACTAAGAATAACGTAATGTTAATGTAAACGACGCAATATCTGCATCAGTAGACAGTACTACAGATTTTGGATGCGCAACATAAGACACTGAAGAATGGTTTTGTTTCAGAGTGCTCAATACCATTGGGTAGTCTCTTTAGAATATCCTAAATAGCAATTAAAAATAAAGTTCTCAAAACACTAGTTCTTTGTACTTAGTATCTTAATAGCTAGTTTACACTCATGGTTTAGTATTTCAGTAATCTAAGTTTTAATAGTTGCTGGTCAGGAGAAAGGAAACATCCTACTCTTTCTTCTTCTTAGTTCTAGCGTTCTAGAGGCTTGAGAGA